TGAATGGTTGAATGTGAAGCTGATGATGTGCCCTGTAAATTTTCACTCAATCCAAAATAAAAACATTTAATAATAAAAAAAAATGCAAAAGGGTGTTCTTTGGACTGAGAACCAACAATAGCAGACAACAACCTGAGATTATCATACATGACAACAACATCCAGAACTCAAATCAGATATAGAAGTATTTAAAGTAAAACAAGCCTACAAGACTGAAAATAGGGAACCAGAGATATTAATGTATAACAAAGTCAAGTGTACATAAAAAGAGGAAATAGTATAGCACAGAACTTCCAAATGGCAAGGAAGTCAAGTAGATTTCAAGATAAAACTGACTGTTAAAAGCAGCGGGAAAATTAATAAATTACAGAGTAATTTCAAAGAAAAACAATACACCAACACATCAAAATATAAAAGAGGAAAACCAGAAAGATTTAATTAAACATGACCACAACAGAAATGAAAATGCAAAGAAAACCCACAAACAAAATGAACTCTGCGTAGGAAATTATTGAACAAAAAGAATCCAGTAGTACTACCAAAATAAAACAAAACAAAACAGCACAAGAAAATGACAGCAATCAATTCATACCTAATGATTATACTGCATGTAAATGGATTAAATGTACCAGTCAAGAGACACGGAGAGCAGAATGGATAAGAAAACAAGATCCTTCAATATGCTGTCTACAAGACACATATCAAAAAGATGGCGACAGCCTAAATGCTTGTCAACAGAAGAATGGTTAAATAAACTTTGATATTCACACAATGGAATACTGTAAAATGTTGAAGATTAATGATGAGTCTGTGAAACACCTCGTGACATGGTTGAACTTGGAGGACATTATGCTGAGTGAAATCAGCCAATCACAAAAGGGCAAATATTGTATGAGACCACTGTTGTAAAAAGTTTTTTCCCCAAAAGGTTTTCTTGATAAAAGAAATAATCTATGTTTGTTAACGGGGTAAAGGAGATGGAAAATTGTTTACGAGCTAGAGAGTAGACACATGTTAACATGGGTGACAGGGCAGACAATGTATAACAAGAGGGAGGTTAGCAGAGGAAGGATGAAGGTAGCAGGAGCACAGGGAGGAATGCAATGTTAAAGTGAATAGAGGTAAATACTGTTAACTGATGGTACATGGAGAGGATTACAAGGAGCTCTGGTAGTGTAGTGGTTATGAATCGGGCTGTGAACCGCAGGTCAGCCGTTCAAAACTACCAACTGTTCCGTGGGAGAAAGATGAGGCTTCCTGCTCCTGTAAAGATTTACAGCCTAGGAAACCCTGTACAGGGTCGCTATGAGTCAGAACCAACTCCACGACACATAACAATGAAGCAAAGTATACTACTTGTTGAATGTAAAACTGATGATCTGCTCTGTAAACCTTCATTCAATTCACAATAGAAAGTTGGAAAACAAAAAGAAGTCTCCTATTCATTGTCTTTTTCAATTTATTCCTACACTTAAAGAGAAATAAACATGATTTTTGTTGATTTGAAAGGGCTCTTTATATGTTAAGGATATTAACTGTGTAAAACAGCTCTACAAACTCTACTGAGGTGGCAGCTGGTCCAAAAACCCAGCTAATTAAATTCCCAATTATTAGTTGTTGTTTTTTTTTGGAGGGGGTACGAATATTGACTTTATACATGCCAGAACTATGGAAAATACTTCCCTCAATTTAACCTTTGATTCTGACAACAACAACATAGTGATCTCAGTGCTAAAGCAACCATAAACATTTATGTTGCCAAATCCATCCATCCTATCTTTGTGGCCCTTGCCTTCGTTTTTATGCTTACAGACAGCAGTACCTCCTCCTACCTGTCTCTCTCCACCTACACATTGTTGTTGATATTGTCAAGTCACAGCAGAATGGCTCCACAGGGTGGGGGCAGCACAGGGGTCAGTCAGGGAGGATCCCTGACTTCACCCTGACCTCCCATAGGCTCCAGCTTGGCTGGTGGGAGGTGGTGGAGCAGGTGACTCTCAGTGTCAGGAGGAGGGGCATTCTGGAAGTACACTGTCAAGCATGTTTTCTGAGGTACCTCTGGGTGAGTTCGAACATCGAATGTTTAACCATTTGTGACACCCAGGGACTTGTACCCACACAAGAAGCTCACTGCCATGATCCTTCTTCTGAGGTGTGTCTGGTGGATTTGAACCACCAATCTTTCAGTTAGCAGTTGAGCACTTTATCACTGTGCCATCCTCCTACCCACACATGTGGCTGTGCGCCATGAAATCAGTTCTGATTCATAGCAACCCCGTAGAGGGTTTCCAAGAGTGGCGAGTGGACTATTATTGTTAATATTGAGTTGGTTTCTGACTCATCGTAACCTTGTGTAGGTTTTCTGAGAATGGTTAGTGGGTTGTTGTTGTATGCTGTTGAGTCGGTTCCTACTCATGGGAGCCTGCATAGGGTTTCCGAGATCGGCTATTGAGTTGTTGGTGGTGTTTTACTTGAGTCTGTTCCAACTCACTCATCACAACCCTGTATGGGGTTTCCAAGAGAAGCTAGTGGATTATTGTTGTTTGGAATGTTGAGTTGGTTCCAGTTCATAGTGACCCCATGTAGGGTTTCCGAGAGCGGCTGATGGGTTTGAACTGCCAACTTTTTGGTTCCCAGTCCGAAGCTTACCTGACAGCACCTCAGCAAGGCTCCTGGATTAGCGACATGCAGAACCCACCTGATTACCCAGGACTAGACAGGTAAGCAGATCGCCTGGGGACTGATGGGAACTCGGTTAGCACTTGGTTTCTTCTCTCAGAGCCCAGGCCCCTGCCCCTAACCTTGTGGATGCTCAAAGAACCGCCGAGGTGGTTCCCCTGCCTCCTACCGCTCCTCAAGATTAAGGGGTTCTGATAGAACTTGTGGGTTCACAGCGAAAGGGAGCTGCCAGGTGGCTGGGGGACGGTGCAGGCCCACCTGGGTGAGCACATAGTGTGTCTGGCTTAGGTTCTCAATGATTGCAAAGTGGTCCATATCCGGGAGCTCTTCAAATGTGGCCTTCCAGCCTCCAAGGCACAGCACCTAGGTGGGGACCGAAGAAGGGACGTGAGACAGCAGGACAGAAAGAAGGGGTCTCTCGGTGCCAGCACGTCCCAGGCCCCTCACAAATGTTGTTGTGTGATGTCGAGTTGGCTCTGACTCATAGCTACTCTGTATACAGTTTCCAAGGATTGGCTGGTGGGTTTGAAACACCGACCTTGAAGTCAGCAGTCCAGTACTTATCCTACAGCGCCAGCCCAGGGGTCCATTAATTATTCGGGTGGTCTTGGGGACAACTTGGGCGACATAAAGAGGAAAGTGCTATAGAACCAAGGAGGAGAGCCCATGGTTCCTGATCCTGGACCACAGTGGGTACTGGGGTACCTGGAAAAACTCCCTGGAATGCCGCTGGAATTCAGGGGAGTCATGCTGGCCCACTACCACCAGTATGTGAAGGGCAGGAACTGAGGGCGACTTCGGGGTGGTCTGCAAGCGCAGCTGTGGGCTGTTCCTCTGAGCGTCCTCCCTGGTGAGGGGCGGGGACAGCAAAGGGGCCAGCTCAGGAGGGTCCCTGGCTTCATCGGACCTCCCACAGGCTCCAGGTTGGCTGGTGGGAGGTGGTGGAGTAGGTGACTCACAATGTCAGGAGGAGAAGGTCATTCTGGGAGGTGTGCAGGATGGGCTCCAGGTCATAGACCCCACTGACCAGGAATAAGCCTGGGGAGGGGAGGGACAGTCACAGGGTCAGCACTCCATCAGACTGGCCCTCACCCACACACCACAAGGTTCATCAGCAGTGGAGTAAGCTGGGGCCAGGGGCTAGAGGGGACAAGACTCGGGTAGAGGCCATAGGGAAACCAGGAAGACCCCGCCCAGCTGTTACAGGAAGTTGCTGCTGGCTCAGCCCCTCAACATCAGGGGAGGGTGCAGACTACAGCCCCGTAGACACCTCTGAGGTTGGGCGAGACTCCGTGCTTGGTCCAGTTGGCCAGAAGCATCATGGCAGCGAGGTGGGCCCCCGCCGAGTGTCCACACAGGTAAATCCCCCTGGGTTAGCCGGAGCAGAGAGCAGGGAGGGGCGGAGATCAGAACCCTGGCTCTTCAAGGCAGGTTTGCATTCTGTCCCTCAGAGCAGCAGACCAGGGCCAAGGACAGCACAGGCCAACGGGGAACCCACCATCCCACCCAGCACCGGTGGCACAGGAAGTCCACAGCAGATACCCACTTGTTGCTGGGATATTGTTTCTGAAGGAAGACTAGGCTCTGGGTCACTTGCTCTGTCATTAGGTCCAGGGTACCTGTCCAGAGAACATGCGCTGGGTCAGGGTCCATGGGGCTCCAAAGCTCCCGGACCTCCAGTAAGCAGCCTTACCTACGGGCGCAATGTCATAAGCCACAATCACCACGGCCACTCCCTGTGCGGTCAGTGGGTCCACCATGAAGGCTGAGGTGTCTTTACTGTGGAAGGAGACCTGGATGTGACAACCGGAAGCAACTTGGCCACTAAGCTGCTACCACTGGGTCCTGTCCACCCAGAACTCTAGCTTGCTCTGACCCTGTGGGTACTGGACAAAGGTAAGCTCTGGGGTCCAGGTGCCTGGTTCAAGTCTCTGTCACACCACATGCCAACAAGGGGACCTTGGGGATGGTCTTAGTCCTCTGGTGTTGTTATCACAGAAATTCCACACGTGGGTGACTTTAACAAGCAGACAATTATTCTGTCACAGTTTAGAAGGCCAGATGTCTAAATCAGCACATCAGCTCTGGGGGAAGGTCCTGGTCTCCTGTCAGCATCTGTGGGCCCAGCGTTCCTTAGTGAGCTCCATGTGTCTTGGCATCAATCTTTCCCTGGGTCTAGGAGGTTCTCAGCACAGGGACTCTGGGTCCCAAGGACTCTGGTCCAGTCCAGCTCTTCTTCCTTAGTGGTCCCTCCCTCTCTGCTCTCTTCTCTCTCTCCTTTCTTCTGTCATAAGACAAAAGGAGATGCAGGCCACCCCCCCGGGACACTCCCTTTACATGGGATCAGGGCTCTGACCTGGGAGATTTGAGTTAGAGTGATTGACATTCCCTACATGTCTCGTTCACATAGCAAACATAACCGAATCCTCTTGGGCATCATCTAATCCTGCCTTATGAATCACAGGCAGAGGTTAGGTTAGGGTCTACAACACATCCCAAAATGGAGAGCATAATCACATGATGTTGTAAGTCATGGGTTGGCCACATATTTTGGTGGTGGGGGAACACAATTTGAGCTATGAAAGGGGCATCATTGAACCTCTTAGGCTGGTTCCTCATCTGCCAAACAGGGATAATTGTTTCCGAGGGTAGTATCATTTACAGAAATAATAGAGACAAACCAGGTAGAGGGCAGGGGCACAGTGGACGTCACTGCAAAGACGACTGTTTGAAGGGAGATGACCCCATCATAGGCACCTTTGTTGTAAGTTACTGAAAAGATCTAAGTACCCCTCGGTCTACCTGATGGTGACCAACTGCCCCTGTTGCCTGGGACTCTCTCTTTCTTTCAAACCAGAAGTCCCACATCCTGGGAAACCCTTCCGTGCTGGGCAAAGTGAGGTGACTGGCTGCTTTGACTCCCCCTTTGCGTCAGCAGTAGACGGAACATGCTTTTCATGGGTGCAGTGGTTGAATTGGGTCCCCTAAATGTGATATCCATGTCCTAACCCCTGAGGTTTTGACATAATGACAATTTCATTAGGACAAAACAGGGTCTTTGCAGATGTAATGAGAGAAAATGAAGGTAAGGACCTTGAGATGAATGCCAGGTGTCCTTTATGTTTTAAAGTGTAAATTCTAAAGCATATGCTTTGTGGGACGCTGCAGTCTGCAGCCTAGGGAGTCCTAACTCTGTTTTGAGTCTTGATGTAATTTCAGGTGACATTTGAGTTCTTTCTGACCATTAAACCAGGAATTTGGTTATGACAATGCCCAGGCAAGCCCAGGGAAGGGCAATTTGTCCTAGAGAACTTGCCTGGATGTATCATTTATGATTCACCAAAAATAGTTACATGTTCTCTAGTTAAAGTTAAAAGTGGGGTACTGGTGGCTATGACTCACGGACACGTAGCCAGGTGGTCAGAGCCTCAGAACCAATCCTGTAAGCTTTTTGAATCTGCAGTTGTGTATGTATCCCAATCATACTCTCTTCCAAGCTTCTGTATGTAGTCCTGCCTTCAACTGTGATGGACTCACCTGCCGCCAGTCATGAGCTTGTGAGGATTTCCTTTGTTTTCTGCCATAGAGAGTGAGTCCCATGGCTGTGAGTAGGCGGACTCCATTTGGCCTCTGTGTTGTGTGCATGCTGGTGGTTTCCCTCATCTGGGATGATTGTCTTTGTTTTGTCATTATCCTGTGTAAGGCTTAGTAAAAGGATCTCTAGAGAGCATGTTTGAATTTTGGGTCTTTTCCACCCTAGCACATGGATAAGAGAAAGGAGAGGAGATTTCAGACAGAAAAACGTAAGAATAAAGGCCATGTGCAGCGGAGGAAGAGACTGGAGAAATTCACCCTGAGCCCAGGAAGACCCGCAGTCACCAGAAGCTGGAAGAGGAAGGAAGCGTTCTTTGGAAGAAGCACAGCCCTGTGGACATCTTGATCTTGGACTTGTAGCTGTCTCAGAACAGCAACGGAACAAAATCGGGTTGTGCTAAGCCACCCAGTTTGCGGTGATTTGTTATGGCGCCACACACTGGGGAGAGGTGAGTCTCCCTTTCTCTCCATTCATGTAGGTTCCCCTAACTTACCTCCCACTCTGCCAATATCCTCCGTGGAGAAACACAAAGAAGGGCAGGGCTGTAAAACAAAACAGAGGTCCCGTCACACGGCCAGGAGTGGTGTCGGCTGAGCGCTGCTGCGGGACCTACCCACCCAGAGCACCCACCTGTTGACACTCCATCAGGAAGATAGATGTCCAGTTTCTCCCCCTGTCCATCTCCATAGGGGACATGCAGCAGGCTCCTCCTGGTGGCTCGGGCTTGGCTGGTGGCTGTCTCGGGAAAGACATGTGGCTGGTCAGCACAACCTCAGTGTATCAGGGACCAGTCATAGGCTCCTCCCCCTGAGTGATCCATGGTTTCTATGTCACCTGAACGATGGCTTTGACTGAAAGTGTCCCACAAAAGATGCCTTCCCAAGCTTTAACAATACTCAGTGCTAGGTTCCAAAGCATTTACAGGTATCTGGTTACAATGGAACCAAGCTAGTTCATCCAGGTAGGCCTCCAATATTACATGCTAGTGTCTGTAAGGGAGTTGGCTGGTCTGATGGAGACCATCATTTTATTATATGTTGTTGCTGTCAAGTTGATTCCAACTCATAGCAACCCTGTATAGGGTTCCTGAAGAGTGGCTAGTGAGTTTGAATCACTGATTTTGTGGTACAAACTGGCCTTACGGTCCAGTGCTGATGCTACAGAACCACATCAGGGCCCCATTTATTATATGTACATAAAGACTCCTGGTGCAGTGCTGTAAGCTAAGCACTGGACTGTGAATCACAAGATCAGCAGCTCAAACCCACCAGCCGTTCCTCAGAAACCCTATACAGGGTCACTATGTGTCGGAACTGACTGGATAGCACTTAACAACAACATAAAGAAATTGAGGGGGCTTCAAAAAATTTGTGGGGAAATTCTATTATCTTTTCATTCCATTCCTCCATGAGCTTTTTTTTTTAAAATTGTGAATTGAGAAAAGTTTACAGGGCAGATCATCAGTTCTATATTCAACAAATCATACATTGCTTCATTACAATAGTTATAATCCCCCTCTATGTACCATCAGTTAACAGTATTTCTCTCTATTCACTTTAGCTCTTTTTAAAAAAAAAAACCACTCAGGCATATATAATAATTTACACCACCAAAGGGCACCTTCTGCAAGTCTGCCTCCTGGCCACCATCTCTCAGTCTCTCTTTTCCCATGAATCTAGAGTCCTCAGCTGCTCCCTTTCTCCATGTCCCCATCTCTTCCTCCATTTCTGGTGTCGCTGCTTCTCTGGATAAGGTCCCACATTCCGCTTGTGCTCTTCTCCCTTGATGGTCCTAGGGTCCTCTGTTTCTGGATTGTAAGAATAATTACTCCCCCGTTTTTGTTACAAAACTTCTACCTTTACAATTGTGACAGTTGCAATTAGTCATGATAACAATTACTCACTATTGAATCCTAAGAATCTTATCCTCATCTCTTTTTACTGGACCCATCTAGACAAGATGAAAACTATTCAGTGGGGACTCTATCTCCCCCCGCACATTCTTAAACTAAACTCCCTCTTGAAACCTTGTAAGCCAGTCACTCCGAGCCTTTATTACCTCCCATTTTAGGTAGCCAATGTCTAAGCTGCCTGTCCCTAACTACCCTGTATACAGAGGGGAGAGGATTGATACTTGATATGAAGACTTCTTTACGAATTGGGCTGCTAACCTCAAGACTGGCAGTTTGAAACTATCAGCTGCTCCGTGGGAGAAAGATGAGGCTTTCTGCTCCTGTAAAGATTTACAGCCTTGGAAACCCTGTGCAGGGTCACTATGAGTCGGAACCGACTC